TCGAAAATATAAATATTTCACCTATAACCAAAATATGGAGTACTAACGGATAACTCAGCAGGGTGCGCTGGTACAAAAGATATTACGTATAAAAATTACTAAACATAATCCGCTATTTGGTCGGTGGTCGTGCACAATAGGTTGCTTCTGTGTGTTCATAACCGCAGCTAATATGACGTAATAACTCGCCACGGGGCGCCTCCCGCAACCGACACGGTTCATGCTGCCCTCGATGTAAAAATCTCGCTTTCATAAAGCTTACGACAGCCTGGTAGTTATAACTTGATTCCACGTTTATAAAGCCGACGATAAGCTTGTTGTAACTTGGCATGTAGAGTCTAACGTTAATCGACTCTACATATTATATTGTTACAGTTGTTACAGTTACACAGAATTGTTATAATTACGGCTTTTTTTTCGGTAATATGGAACAGTTTCTTTGTACAAATTTTTCCAAATCTTGTTAGTAATTTTGTTCCTTATTTTCGTCTTATTACCTGCGCTCTATAGTATTCTACATTCACGTAGCTTGATAACAAAAATTTGGCGCAATGATAAAATGATCGGAATAAAGATAAACATTTAAATAATTGACGGTACTCTGAGTTAACTGTGACTGTCACAGACACTCAGCCTGTCCACGGGACCACGAAGGCTGGAAACGGTTGAAAACACGGGGAATTTAAAATTTTTATTATACGCGGGAAAATCCGTAAAATGGTTCCATTTCACAAAATAATTAGTTTCACTTAGGCTTTAAGCTCATGTAAACATAAAACAAGTTGATGAAGATAAAACAATTCGATAAAAAATCGTTTATTCGTTGAGTATGTATATAAAATGTTATCATTTATGTAAATTGTATAATTGGCTTTACTCACAACACTCGCGATATAGTCTCTTATCAGCTGGTATAACTGAAACGTTAGCACCGGTATCCACTAAACATTATAACCACTGTTTAAGTCGGTTATACATAGCCGGTGGGACGAGACTATAGTGCTAAAATCCGTCTCCTGCTGCACTGGTCCTAGTATTCCGGAACTTTCCAGACGCACGGCATTGCGCACTTCTTACCCCGTTCACGAAAACGAAGATGGTAGAAGCAAAACCAATCTGGGCGTCTCTGGGAGTTTCCTGACTGGAACGGAGTACGCCTACGCGAAGATTCACGACGTTTGTAGCGCTGCTGTGACTTTGGCCTGTCCATATTCTTGAGCCTCGCGGTAATTTTGGAAATCTCCTGCAGGAGTTCATCCGTGCTACTTGTTGATACTTGAGCTATCCGCAACTGGTCAGGTTTAGTGTTTTCCAAAATTTCTTCAGCAATCTCGGCCAATTTATCAATGTCTTCTGTGTCAGTGGCGGCAAGGACTGCTCGTGCCGGTGAAGGCAAATAGTCCAGCCATAGTAGCTACAACGTTTTGTCCAGTAACTTTCTCCTCGCCAAGTTTTGCATGCACCGTCGTAGTTGCGACGGTCGCTGATCCCGAAGCTGCATGTCTACCAAAAGTTTGCCCATTCTCTGCATTCTCGGACTCTTGATAGACATCGATAAGGCGTGCTTTCAACGCCTCGTACATTCCGTCCGCTGGAAGGTTTACCAAAATATCGGTAACCTGTTGTATTTCCTCTTTCCCAAGCTTAGACACGACCATATTGAACTTGGCATCATCACCTAATTTTTGCGGAGACAATATGGCCTCAGTTCGGATAAACCATATTCTTGGCTGGTCCTTCCAAAAATCATGTATTTTGGAACTAAGGGATGCGGCGGCTAGGTTTAACTGCTCTTGAAACGAAGCTGCTGTCTCTGGCTTGATGGGATGCGCGGGCGACGCGGCTTGCATGGCAGGCGCGGCTTGGTGCTGCGAAATCATTTTCACGGTTGCACACAATGTAAAGTCAATAACGTGTTCACTTCAAAGTTCGCGTTCAGATCACCAATATAGGGTTATAGTTTATTATGTTCCCTATTGTGACGAGGAGATGAGATAAATACTACGCTACTATTATATATATTATTTATTATTAAATCTACAAGATATTCACATGACAGTGTGCGTTCAAATTACATTGTGTCGCCACATTTTTTTTTTTATCTTTATAATACTAAATTGCGGATCGTATTCTATGTTTGTGTTTATCTTCTTAACTTTTCACAATTTTTCTTATTTATCGATCGTTAACCTAATTATTAATAAGACGAAATTCTAGCTGCGATACAAAAAGATGAGTAAATCAGAAGTATTAATTAATTTCAAAGTCATTTCAAATTAATTTTCCCTTTATATTTTCCTATTTTAATTCATAGTTTTAATAAATCAAGTTTAACCAATGCACTTTATACCAGCGGTATTTTATATTTATTAGTTGAAATACCTCGAGGAAGATATTTGTTTAATTTCAAATCTTGGCATTATAAGTACAAACCTTTAAAACAAAAAGTTAATATAAAACATCCAAGAGTCCTAACCTCTGTGTCTAAGATGAAGATGTGTGGATTCGGGCAGCGGCTGTAAACCTTTTTTTTGTTTACAAATACAAATTTTTTCGAAACTGGAGTATGTAACACAGTCCTTGCAAATCCATCATCGGATTCTGCCAGGTTACTTTATAGAATTGTTAACTTAGGAATAAGACGCAGAGGTGGTTTAAATTGATCTATGTAAATCCTATTTTATTTTTGTTTTTTGTAATCTTGTGAACACAATGAGGGTGGCATAATCTGTAAAGATTAAACCCTTTTTAAAAATAAAGAGAAAAAAAAAATACAAATTTTAACGTTTCATTTTAAGTGAAAAACATTTAAATCGCAGGAGATAAAGTTAAGGTATAGTAGTGATACCATCTTAGCCAGAGTTTAACTTGGTAGATCTTGAATTACTTAATATGACGACGGATCTCTATTGTTACACCCTCTAGCATCTGTTGCAGAACGAATGGGCTGGCCTCATAGGACATTCGTGTATAGTGGGAGTATTATATTTTCCCATTTGTCTAGGTCCGAGGTTTTAAAGGTTAGAAATGCAACTGGCACCCCGCGAGTGATATTTGCCCACGGGCGTTCTCCCAAAAAAAAGAAAAGCGCCTTAGGGAGCAGTAGTCAGCTTCTATTTGCGTGCAAGGGTTAGAAAAATGGACAGCCATGAATGCATAATATGTTATTTAAATTCACGCGGCCAGGCGATATTGTAGTCAACAATTTTTGGTTTTACTTTGAATGGATGTTCATCTGATGTTAAGTGATAACCGCCTTCCATAGACATCTATCTGCCTTGCGAACCTTACAAAAGTGCGAGACATAATCGTTTATGCGTTAATTATTGCTAACGAATCTGTTAAGGAAAACTTTTCATCAATTTTTTTTAAAAAATGTTTCGTCTTAAAAATTAGCAAATAGTAATTGCGACATCTCTCTTTCGAATTATCGTTGTAAAACTATATTTGAAATTGTTTGTATGCTGCAAAGGATATAACAACAATAGATGCGCCAAGCATTGCTTAAAATGCGAAAAAACAATATAGATAAAATACGTTGAGATTTTTGTCACTTTAGCTCTCAGCTTAGTGGTGAGATTCCCGCAGCGGCGAAAAACTTTTCATCCGTTTTTTTTTTTTACAAATATTAATATAATTTATCTACTGCGAGCGAAGTGAAACTTGAACATCATTTGTTTCTTTGGATATACTTTAGAAAGCTAAATATGTTGAAGAACGATTCATCAGACTTAAACCCAACATTAGTGATTAAACCTATTTATTATTACCCAAATACCTAATTTAAAATGGTTATTATGAAATCGAAGTATAGAATAGATGTATTTATTGTTAATTATTTGTTTAATTAATTGTTTGGAATAAATTCAATTATTGTTGTAATTAATTGTTTGTTTAATTAAGGTGAGATTAATTAATAAATGTTACATAATTTGAAATTAATTAATAAGTGTTAAATAATCTAATAAAGGTTATATTAATTACGGAACTTAACTATTCAATTATTCTACATAATTACAGCTTAAATTCAATTTTAAAATTTTAGTAATTGATGTGTTTTAATGAAAATTTGGCCTGACATGATAGTTATTTATTTTTATAGTCAGCTATTTATTAATGAATTACAACAAAACCATATAGTGTTCAATAAACTATTGTCTCTTTTAAATCTGTTGCCTTTTTAAATTACTGTATAGAAAATATTTAAATATATACATTCTAGAACTTCTTTAGATTTATAGTAAATTATATCATGTTCTGTATGAATATGATCAAAATACTTTAGCTACAACAAAATCATATCTCGGGCTCGTTGATGTCTTTTATTAAGAACTTTTAGCGAAATCGAGCGAATGCATATTACAATTACAATTTTCTTCAAGTGAAAATAAAAACAATTTATAAATAACGCCATAATAAATTAAACTTTCGTGGCTATAATTGAAATTTAAATGAGGTTGAAAAGTAATAGCGAATATTTTTGTTAGTAACAAAATTAACTATAACTACTTCAATAATTTCAATATCTTAGTCATCTATATCATAAAATTTCAAAAAAGAAATTACTATTCCAAAACATGAGATCAGGTGTTATTATTAACAAGCAGTTAACAAATTAGAGGAAACACATTAGTTTCCTCTAGTTTGTCCACACATACCCATATGAATCAGGTTTTCATATTTATCGAGTGACGTCTTGGTTCCTCATTTTTAGATTCTTTGTAAACCTTCCTCCCCATTAACAAAAGCGAATGTGCCACTGATTCCGAGTGGAGAGATGATTTATGTGGCAAATAAAGATAACTTCCAAATCGTTTCACCCAATTTACGCTTCTAAAGCACTGAAGAAAATCATGATCAACAGGGATGATACTACACAACTCACTGATAAGCTTCGAGAAGAAACTAATCATAACATACTTTGATTAACCATTAACAATTCACGTAACTACGACGTAGCCGTAACGTAGCCACAACGTAGCTGAAGCGTAGCGACATACCGTGCGCTCTCCGGTGTCCTAGGATGCTGTCGATGGTGTAGGCTGCGCCTCGCCGGGTGCCCGACATGGCGCTAGACGCGGCAGCAGGGCCCAAGGCGGCAGCCGCTGAACCGGTGGCACCCACAGCAGCGTCCGAACTGTTATCACCCGACACCGACAACATCGGACCGAAACCACTTAGCTACCCAATTTACCCCTCGTCTAAACAGAAAATCCCGGCTCGTCAAGGCAGTCACACATTGGCCGAGTCACGAATGCAATCACATCGATAAGGTCTGGTGAGGCACGTCCGCCGCCTACAGACATCCCCATACGACTGCTATAAATCACTCCGCCCCGGTCGCTCCGCTGTTACTGTCTCTGTTGCTCCCCAGCCTTCGTACATCACCGTCCCGCTCGGGCCCGCCCCACAGCGCTATTGGCCCGTCGACTAGGGCCGACCTCGTGGCTCGCCACTTCCCAAACTTTACATCTATTCCTCAATCTAGTATCAAACACCGTTTTATTTCAATTTGTTAATTGCAGCAGTGAACAATGAAATAATAAAAATCTTAAATGGAAGCCTCTTAATCAAGGAACATATTTTACACAGATACAATAATAATAGTATTAATTTAAAATTAAGCCATAAATTATTTTGATTACGTTAAGTGAGTATTGTAACAAACGATCTAATTTTTAATATATAAAACGTTTCATTTCTAGGGTTCCGTACGGTAAAGGGTAAAACGAGACCCTATCATTAATACTCCACTGTCTGTCTAACCGTAAGAGTTAGACAGTTAAATTAAAATTAAAATTTTCACAGATGATGTATTTCTGTTACCGCTATAACAAATACTAAAAAACATAATAAAATGAATAATATTTAAGTGGGTATTTAAGTGGGGGGCGATAGAACAGACACAATTTTTTACCCTTTGTGTTCTAGTCCGACTCGCACTTGGCCGGTTTTTTTTTTACTACTTTCTGGTTATGTTTGACTATAAGAGATTATTTTTAAGACGTACTCTGATACGACATATAGTCTGTACTTGATATAACCAGATGTGAAATTATAAAAAATCAGGTCATTTTACACGAATGAAAAAAATATTGAATTACGTTTGTTAATTACACTAAACATTATTTTAGTGAAAGTACTTGTAATTAATAGTTGCCCTTATGCCCTGTACTATATATATCAGTACGCTATATACGTGTGTGTACCTTACTTTAACTTCAATAAATTGTGCGGTACAAATACTGAGAGTTATATTAAAAGTAAAAAGTAAAGTAAAGTAGCAGCCTGTACATGTACCACTGCTGGGCAAAGGCCTCCTCTGTACAGAGGGTATCAGGGCATAGTCCACCACGCGGCCCCACTGCGGATTGGCGGACTTCACATAACTTCGAAATATATTTTTTTTTGTTACTATTTCGAAAATATGCAGGTTTCCTCACGACGTTTTCCTTCACCGCGTAGCACGTTATAAGACAGCACTTAAAGTTAAAAACTTCTTTGGTGCCCTCACCGAGGATCGAATTCAGGTTGCTCGAGTATATATTGAATTAAAGGCGAGCGCCCGGATACTGAACTATCACGAATCGATATTAAAAGTAAAAAAGTAAATTATCAGCTTATACAAGTCCCACTACTGGGTAAAGGCCACCTTCATACAGGGAGTATACACCTTAGAAGGTGCACTATGCTCTGATACTCCCTGTAATATCTAAGAAATATTTTTTGTTATTATTTCAAAATTATGCAGAATTCCTCATGATGCAATGTCCTCCTTCACACGCTCCTCTAATATGACAGTAAAGTCTTGGTAAGATCACTGAGATTTGAAAGTGTCACTGAGATCGAATTTAGATGAAAACTCTCATATCAATACTGACACTTATTATTAATCACGGGCGCCCAAAGAAATAGCCCACCATAGCACAGAATAGAGCGGTGTGAAGGAGAGGGAGGAAGGAGCCCTTCTTTAAAATCAAACTGTATATTTAATTCATAGTACCACACAACCGTAACAAACGTTATCTATCCTGGACATAGTATCAATATTGCGACTGTTCCAACAAATACTTATATGATGTTTTTGTTTTATTTAATAAAGTGACACCTTTTAACCACCTTTTGTTTTATTTGAGAAAGTGACACCTTTTAATAATGTGGGCCCCGGCTACATCACTCACAAAACGAAACGCAGAAGTGTAACACTTCTAATTTACGCCGATCTTCTGTGAGGTCGTGGTACTAACCCGTTGCTTATTGAAACGTGCAACACCCGTAGGGTTGCAGATGCCTTGCCACATTTTAATAAAGTGTTCCGTGGCTACCTCACTCACCAGTTGAAAGGCAGAAGTATAATATTTCCACTTCACGCCAGTCTTCTGTAGATCGTGTTGCACGAATGCTGTTGCGTGTTCCTACCACGGTTGTACACGGATACACGTTTTAGCCAAAATAAAAAGGTGTTTAAGGTCAAAAAGTCTTTATCGTAAGCCTTTTTAAAGCCGTTGTAACGACGTTTTGCATACGTATAGTGTTCGTTATCAACTTTTGAGTACAATAGAAACTTCACAAATTGTTAAGCACATCGATTTAAGTCTACCATTGTCCTTAATAGTGGTCACAAGAATAGAACATTATTTGAAAACAATAAGTTAAACCCTTACCTTGTCATGATCCGTTGTCTACAACCAGCACGAGTGCGTTCCCATGGGTTTGGGAATTAAAAACGAACGCGTCATCGTATTTTCTCAAAAGTGAGGTAAGTAAATCCTGGCTGCGACCTCCGTTGGTTAGAAGACTTAAAACTTTAGTTTTTTCAAAACACAATCCGTAAAACGATGCAAGAACACTTGTTAACTATTTTAATTATTTTTAATTATTTTTTATATTGTCGGTAAAAATTGACGAAATGAAATAATTTATGTTGTAAATGTTGTAATCATGTTTTCAATGTGAGGAAGTAGCGAGTGAGCAGGTGATTCATCTGATGTCAAGTGATTACCGCCGCCCGTGGACATCTACGACAAATGTGGCGTTGTGAATTCGTTGCCAAGCTTGTGTGTTCTGTTATCAATTACCTCACTTTGTTCTAGCGTGTCTGGTAAAGTACTACGATCATACAGAAGACCGACATGAGCGTGGAGCCTTGCATTCAACTACAACTTATATGAGGATCGGTTCAACAAATGTAAAAAGGGACGTAGATTCGTATCAATAATCGGTCATGTGCTGTCCCGTGTGGGCATCGAACCCACAACCCTGCAGTTGGCAAGGACACTCTTTCGCCACATGGACCTCTAAGGGGCTTATAGAAAAGAACCTGTGGACAAATAAGTCGTTATCAACGAGTTATTAGTTTTAGGCTTGATCACTTTAGTAGAGATTACATTCTTCCCTTTCAAAAGATTAACTCAACTGTAGGATTAGTTGTTATATGCGTCACATTTAGACAACATTATGTGTTGTGTTGATGATGATATTACCAACGAAGCTGAGTGTCACCAAACGAGAAGAATATTCAATAGTACAATATTCTAGAACTTTAATTATCTGGCCGAAAAAGACTTGCTAAATGTTAACGTTTACTTAATAAATGAAATTAATTTTATAAAGAAAAAGTTTTGTTTTAAAGGCGATTAATTTCTATAGTACTACTTTCTGCACTTATGATTTCTTTTAAAGAAATAAAAATGGACATTAACCTGCGTTATGTTTTTTAATGCCCATTAATTTTTTATATTTTTTTAATATTTTTATATATCACAATTGTCCTCAGTTTAATCGTATCAAATCTCCTTTCTCTTACCCTTATCCCACTTAGGTGGGCTCATCAAAATATTTGATACATGTTGTTAATACATAGTATTAGGCTAGGTTTTTTTTGTTTGACATGATGTTAACCACCCTTGGGAACAAACACCCAGATCCGGGACAACTATCTGTTGTCACACAAATACCTGTGGGAATCAAACCCTCGACTAGCGCTTTCCAAAGCCATTAACAAATGTGCCACCAAGCCATCCGTAAGTCGACGTAAATAATAATTATAACATCAATATAGCTTTGTAACCAATGATAGTGGTATTAATGTATTTTTATCAACTGTTATTATTTATTTTATTCAGTAGTTATTAAAATCGACTCCGTTGCGCAGACGCTAAGGTATTGGCTTCGGCGTCAGGGGTCGTGGGTTCGATTCTCACACGGGACAACTATTTGTGTGACCCAAAGATAATTGTTTCGTATCTGGGTATTTGTCCACGTGAAATTTATTTCTGTAAAACATCCTTACAACACGGGATAATGTTATTCTACAGTAAGGGCAATGTTTAAAAAAAACAAAAAGAAAAAACCGGTCTAGTGCGAATCGGACTCGGCGGTTCCGTACCATTATCTTTAAAAACGGCAAAAAATCTCGAGCCCCACTTAAATATTTCTTTACTTTAATTTCTATTTGTTGTTATAGAGACAACAGAAAAACATAATCAGTGTTAATTTCTATTGTCTAACTATCACGGTTCATGAAAGCCTAGTGACAGACGGACAGACAGATGGACAAACAGACAGACATACAAACAACGATCCCGTTTTACCCTTTAGGTACGGAACCTTAAAAAGATTACTTTACTGGTTACTTACTACGTACCAAGAGGATGTTTGGCATACTTTCGCGATCCCGGCTCGTGCCGCGCTAATGGGATTAGCCCCACTTCCCCGTAGTGCCCAAGCTGATGCCTCAAGTGGCTCGTGGTTACGAGCGGGGATTAGGCGCCTCACTGGAAGTCACGGTGCACCATTTCGAGCGAAATCTCGTCCGTGGGGCGATTTTGACGACCAGAATGGCGGTAAATAGTGGGTGGTGTACCTGCCTCCTGGGCCAGAGGGTGTGCGTCCGATCCCCACTACTAGAAAAATATTGTGCGATAAAGATAGTGTTTTTCTAATGTACGGTGTTTGTACTCGTAAATGTATAATTTTATTTTTTTATACCTTTAAACGAGCAATTCTTGATTATATATAATCGGAATATAATCGGAATCTCGGAAACGGCTCCAGCGATTTTCATGAAATTTAGTATGTGCGTAGATTCGGGGGCGAAAAATCTATCTGGCTAGGTGTAAATTTTTATAAAATGTTGTTTTATCCCAGTTTTCAGTGAATGA